GCTGCAGAGGTCTCTGGCTCCTCCCATACTTCCATCTATTTCTCAAACAGAGCAGCAAGGATTTCAGTATTTTCCCCTGATTAGGTTGCACAAATCAAAAACTTGATTCCCTAGACAGAAGCCAATTCTGTATGAATTCCTATAGCCATTGCTTTTTCAGTGAATTCATGACAGAAGCCAAAATGCATCCTCTGCTCTGGGTGTATGTATGTAACTAACGAAATGATGATTTCTTCAATTTGCCATCAAAACTCTGGGAATCCTTAAAAGACAAGAAGAGCACAGAATAGAAATGAAGCAACATACATGTTAATCAAGCAAAACTGACCAGTAATTTAGTGTTTTAAAAATACTGAGATTACAAGAAGCACAGAATTCATTTCCCCTTCTTCATATCAAAGATACTTAATGTGACATTACATTAAGTAAGATACTCCCCCAGGTATTCAGCAAACAAAATCAGTATGATGGAAAACCTGAGTGAGGTAGGATGAGATTACAAATTTCTTGCACAGTGAGGGCAACATAAAGTAGACTAAGACAGCTTCATTGTTCCTTTATTATGTGTCATGGCTCCTATCATTAAGTGTTAATAATACATTTTATCAAAATAAGAGAATCCTCTACAGTGATGCTTTCTAATAGCACCAGCCTTCAAAGTTACTGGGCATTGTCTCAATTTATAACTGAATACACAATAGGAAAATTTTCAGAATGCTAAATGATACAACAAAATTAAGTATAGGTAAGGGAAAGAAAGAACATTTTCTCTGCCTTTCAAGATCTTCCTGTTAGAGAAATTCCTATGATGACCATGTTACATTTACTTTCTAAGGAGTAACTCTGAAAGGATATTTTAAATCAAATTATAAACAACTACCAGTTATTTTACTATATATGTTATCTTACACATTTTGCAGAGCTAAACTGTTTTGTTTTACATACCTATCAAATTTTACTTTTCAATAAATGAAACACAATTTTTAAAATATTTCTTTTTTACTTTTAGGTRGATACAATATCTTTATTTTGCTATTATGTGGTGCTGAGGATAGAACCCAGTTCCTCATGCATGCTAGGTGAGCACTCTACAAGTGAGTCACAACCCCAGCCCAAATGAAACACAATTTTTATAATCAAAATTCACTCCTATGCCTTTAAGTTTCAAACTAAACTACTAATCACCAGAATTCAACCAAAAGTTATAAAAGATTTGTATTTTACTCATCATCTAATTTCTCTTTGATGTTTGCAAATCACTAACTGTTAACTATGGCCTAATATTTCCTGGTATTTCAATAAGTGGAGGATAAAGTAAAAGTGGTTAACTGCACATCTGCATTTTATATTGTTTTTTTTCCAAAAACGAAATAGCCACTGCTGCTCTCGAAAGGACCAGAATACTTTCTGAAAGCATGTTGTCCCTGGACACAAAACACTATCAAAATATGTCAAAAAAAAAAAAAAAATCAAATATACAATTCAATAAATCCTTCTATAAAAATGTCCTCTATGATTCTTCAGAAAATGATTAAGACCACAGTGGGCTCCAAAAACCAGAAGTATAAGTGAAAAAGCAATTATTTTATTATGTAACATTTATATTATATAGGAGTAAACTAAAACACTTGTATTTTCAATAAATAAGCCAGTCAGAATTAGCGAAATTATATTTATCTGACATAGCATCATATATATATATATATATATATGTATATATATATATATATATATATGGTAGTAATAAGAATTAGAACCACCTAAAATATTATCCATTAAAGGCTCTGATATTAGGCTTGCTTTTATCACTGGAAAAACAATATGAGCCACATTTGTGAATGACAAAAATGCTTTCCATTCTTTCTGGTTCCCTGCCACAAATGCCACAGTCATACTACAAATTATAGATGTTTGTGGGATTTAAGTACATTTACACAAAACTGCACAAATCAAAATTTGGAGGAAAAGAGGTATAGGTTGCATGGGGTTGGGGGGAGTAACACATTGGGCATATGTTAAGTACTGCATGCAGTCAGTGCTATATTTGGGTGGTAGTTCTCCCTCAAGTACTTCCATATTCGACAGACTGTTCTGCTTAATCAGAGATCATCCTAATGTTCAGGAGTTGTGGGGGAAGGGAGACAACGTCAGGGACTCAGGCTGTCTTTCAGTATTCAGAACTGGACTTACTCAATTTCTTAACATTTCTTCTGGTTTGTCTTATATTTCAGATGTTTTATGGCCAAAGATATATCCCTGTGATGTCCAACATATATATAAAATGCATCAAAATTTGTTGGTCAAACACCAAAGAAAATATATAACCTGGAGATGTCTACATATGAATAATTTTTTTAAAAAACTGTATCTAGAAAAAACTCCAAAATGAAATCTCTTTTTACAGTTTAAGATTTCCAAGTTTAGCAAAATGTCTAGCAAAACATCTATTCAATAAGATAAAAATGGCCTTTTCAACGGAAGGAAGGAGATACCYAACAACAACAAAAATCAAAATTGACTCAATGATTAAAGAGATGGTCAAAAAACACGCCAGCTGCAGGGGAAAAAAGAAAAAAGAACCCCCCCCCCCAAAGACCTTTGATTGGTTTTAAATGGATTTAAAAAAAAAATCAAAACTCTGATGGAACTTTTAATTTTATACAAGCATAAAATCCCAGGTTAAGAACAAAAATCTGCCCCCAAACCCCCAAACCTAAAAGCAAACAAACAAACAAAAATCAAGAAAGTCTTTAAGTATGATGCAATTTCCAAAAACTGAAATCCATAAATGGATAGATTATGAATTACTAATTCTCATCTCCCCACCAATAAAAGGCAAACCAGCTCAGCAGTGAAAATTCCCAGGAAAGCAAGGTTTCTTCTCAGTCCTGAGGCAGCCATCGCCTAAGTGCAGCTCCCTGCAGCCAACAGCATTAATGGACGCTGCACTGCTGTCCTTCCCTGGAGACAGCAGCCAGCACTACTCAAGCTTCTCACGTAGCAACCAGAGCTCCAGAGCCAGCAGCTGCTGCTGCCTTGTATACTCACCCCTGTGATCCAACACAGGAACAACCTTCTCTTTACCCCACCCCCACTCCTCACACTTTTTTGGGGGGGGAGCCGTCGGTGGAGGAGATGATCCATTCTAGAAGGGCTAGAATTATGCTTTAAAAAAAAACAATCCTAAGGTCACCCTTTTAAATTGAGGACTTTTATTAAGGGTGGTGTTGGGAAATAAACATTTATCAAATTCTAAATATTCGTTTTAATCAAGTCAGTAATTTAGGAGTAAAGATTAAAGTGTAGTCTTTAGAAGGCCAATTTTCCAAGCACTCAACAGTCGAATTTAAATTTGCAGCTAGAGACAGACCCTTGTGTCATGTCCTACCAAAGGACATAATTCATTTTTCTACACATAATGACAGTGTGAGTAAACCTTAAGGACTCTAATCCCATAACGGGCCAGAATTTTGGGCTACAAAAGAGAACTAATGATCCTCCTGAGAAAACTGGAAGAAATCCAAAAAAAAAAAAAAATTCCTGTGTCCTCCAAGAGGMCCAGAAACCTCTGATTATGTGAGAATTCTCTGCTTTAGTCCTAGCTCATATCCCCTTTTAATTCTTCTCAGTGACCTAAAAACATTAATATAAAATTAACCATTAAAAATACTTTTCCCCAAATGCAGAGCATATAAACATTAACCTGAAAAGCTCCTAACACTCAACTCAGCTAGATCTTTCTCAATCAAAAGTATAGCTATGAAACATATGCCCAACTAAGAAACATAAATATGACCTTGGTCACAAATATGTCATTAAAAACAACTTGTTAAGCCAAGGCATGAAGGAAATTAGGAGAGAACCTGGGGATTCTTTCAGTACAATAAGCACAAGGAAAATTGGAGAAATGAACTCAGGTACAGACAAAGCCCAGTGGAACCCAGAGCTCTGGACAAGAAATGAGTACTGGTGAACACATTGCACAAGTAACATGAGAAAGCAGAAAATGCAGGTCATACACGCACCCCTGACCCAGACCAGCAGAGCTGGCTGCAGCATCAGTATCCAGGAGAAAGACTACTTATTCCTTACGCGACACAAGCAAAGGAGCTCTATAGAATAAATTAGCATAGAAGGGGCTTTCCCAGCAGCTAAAACTTTCCCTCTCACGCGCCTCACCTACTAAACCAGGGCTTTTCCCCACCACCATTCACTTCACATCTAGACTTGCACGCAGAGAGAAACAGAATTCATAAAGGGTAAATTTTTCTGCCTTTAAAGACGTTCTAAAAAGATCGTTTTCCACGCCCAAGGCAGGGAAAACAACAAAATCTGGCTCAGCTCCGGCCTGAAACCCAACAAATTCAATGGGGGAATATCTCTGGGAGAGAGGGGTATACGCCACAGGAAGCCCAAGAATGTGAGGTGGGGGTGGCAAAGGTAATATCTTCAGTGTGGCATAGAAAGCAGCCATCGGAGGTGGGGACCCAGAACCCAGAGGGAAGCCATCCAGGGAGACCATGGAGGGGAGATCGGGGCCCCCAAGAGCTATGAGAGTTGTCACAAGGCCTCGAGAACGGGGGTTGGGAGGTGGGGGCTCGCGGACAGGAGGGGGGAAAAAAGTACACCCGTGTATTTTGAGAGCAGAGAAGCAAGAGGCCTATGTTCAAGTAAAAGGTAAACGTGGAGTAGGCAGTTCCCAGGAAAAGGGGTGAAGAGGCGTGGGGGGAGGGGAAGCGTCCTGACCCAGGAAAGACATGAAAAGGGTAGTGGGGTCGACTCGATCGCACGGGGAGCCTTTTTCCCTTGGAAAAAGGGGTGCAATGACGTGTAGGGGTGGCGAGGAGAGGAGAAGGGGTAGCATCTTCCTGCTGTGTGCAGGGGAGAGCCAGGCCCACGTCCCGAAGAGAGCGAGTCCGGGGAGACGGAGGAGGTGACCCTTCCTCCCCCCCCGGGGCCCGGTCGTGAGGGTTGGTGTCTCTTTTCTATCGGACCCTTACCTTGTCCCAGGCGCTGCCGGGGCCTGGGCCCGGGCTGCGGCGCACGGCACTCCCGGGAGGCAGCAAGACTCGAGTTAGGCCCAACGCGGCGCCACGGCGTTTCCTGGCCGGGAATGGCCCGTACCCGTGAGGTGGGGGTGGGGGGCAAAAAGGCGGAGCGAGCCAAAGGCGGGGAGGGGGAAGGGCCAGGGAGGGAGGGGGGCCGGCACTACTGTGTTGGCGGACTGGCGGGACTGGGGCTGCGTGAGTCTCTGAGCGCAGGCGGGCGGCGGCCGCCCCTCCCCCAGCGGCGGCGGCGGCGGCGGCGGCGGCAGCTCACTCAGCCCGCTGCCCGAGCGGAAACGCCACTGACCGCACGGGGATTCCCAGCGCCGGCGCCAGGGGCACCCGGGACACGCCCCCTCCCGCCGCGCCATTGGCCTCTCCACCCACCGCCCCATACCCATTGGCCAGCTCGCCGCCAATCAGCGGAAGCCGCCGGGGCCGCCTAGAGAAGAGGCTGTGCTCTGGGGCTCCGGCTCCTCAGAGAGCCTCGGCTAGGTAGGGGAGCGGAACTCTGGTGGGAGGGAGGTCCGGTGGACTGGGTGGAGGGATGGGTGGTTGAAGTGGCCCCACTATGGCTGGAGAAGTCGTCTTCTCCCGCGAGATGCCGGGGGCACAACGTTTGTACGGCTGGAAGGGGAAGGGGGTGGTCGGTCGGATACGGGCGGGAGGTCGGCCCGCCCTGCGGCAACCGGAGGGGGAGGGAGAAGGGAGCGGAAAAGGTTTGAAGCCGGACGGAGCCATTGCTTCTGCAGAGGGTGGAGCGCTTCCGGTTCTCCTCTTGTCTCTGATTGGTCGCTTCTCCTCCCGCCGTGTGTGAAAACACAAATGGCGTGTTTTGGTTGGAGTAAAGCCCCTGTCAGTTACAGCCTCCAGAGTGCGCAGCCGCCTGGTGACTCTCGCATTGCCCCGTGGGTGGGGCGAGTAGATAGGTGGGGTGAAGAGAGGTGGACGTGCGGGCGCGGTCGGCCTCCCGCAGGGGGAGGGGAGGGAAGGGGAGGGTCAGTGAAAGTGGCTGCTGTGTGGGGTCCTCTTACCCTCCCCTTCTTTTAGGGGAGTCGGTTTACCCGCCGCCTGCTCGGCTTCATCATCTGATTGGCTACTGTTGCTGGGAGAACTAGCCCTTGCTATTGGCTCGAGTCCCAAGCGAACGAAACCACTGCGCGGGCCGGTGGGGGTGGCAGGAAGGCGGTCGTTGGTATGGTCCTCCCCGAGGCCCAGCGCCGCAGTGTCTGGCCCCGCGCCCCTGCGCAACGTGGCAGGAAGCGCGCGCTGGAGGCGAGGGCGGGCTGCGGACCCAGGCTTCTGGGTGGTGGCAACCACGGCTCCGCCCCGGGCCCCCTCCGCTAGGGGGGCGAGACGAGCCCGACCAGCTCCAGACACCCGTGGGGGTGGGGGAAGGAGCGGGGGTCGGTCCGACTGGCTTGTGGGCGGGAGGCGCATGGTCTCCAAAAATCGGCGGGCGCGCTGCAATCCTGGGGGAGCTGCAGTAGAGGAGGCGGGGAGAAGGCCGCACCCTTCTCGGTAGGGGGAGGGGAGCTGCCGCAATACCTTTATGGGAGTTCTGCCGCCTCCGGTCTTCTAAGGACCGCCTTGGGCCTGGAAGAACCGCCCTGGGCCTAGAAGAATCCCTTCGCCCTTCCCCCTCCCCACAGCGTGATCTCATCATCGCCTCCATGTCGAGTCGCTTCTCGGTTATGGGCGGGATTCTTTTGGCTAGGCAGAAGAGCTGATCTGGTGCCTGGGCGTTGTCCTGCTGGGGAATTGAGCAGGTGTAAGATTTGAGGGACGAGTCTTCCCACGGATTTGAGTTTGTTTGAGGAGGTAATTATACTAGGGGAGAAGCAGGAAAATGGAGCCTAGGCGTTCGCCTGGGGTTAATTTTATTCAGTGAGACTGCGGGTTATTACTACTTAAGGTCTTTCTGGAGTATTATTCCTAGAGATAGATTAAAGGTATGATCACCCGAGTTTTTACTTACCCCACTTGAGACCCTTGCTAAACCACCAAAGTACAGCATCTCGGATTAAATCGTAATGGTAAAATTTTAGCCTTTGCTTCAGAACCCAGTGCTTCCCTCTCTTCCTCCATATCCGTCCTAGCAGGCATTTTAGTAACTCTAAGACTTTGGTCCCATTTTTTTCATTGTTATACTTGCTCATCCAGTCTCCAGACACATACTGCTGGCTTTCTCTCCTGATCTTAGGTAGGTAGCTTCATGAGTCATGAAACCAGACAGATTGGTTCCACCACAAATTTAGGCTTGAACTGGAGCCTCCCTCATACCCAGCAGTCTTCCTCCTTGATGCACTTTATTGGAATGTTTTCCTTCATTTTTATTTTACTTTTTTCCCCCCTTAGTTGGGATTCTACCCCTGGGCCTCTTCACAGTTCATCTAATTTGAATACTGCTTTATTGAGAATTGTACCTGAGGCTCAGCATTCAACATCTGCTTTTCTCTTTTGAATACCACTCATTCATCCCTTTATATTTGTTCTCATTGGATAGTAACTAAGTTCAGTTGCCACTATAATAGCCTCCAAAGTGGTGTGTCTTCCTGCACTAGCATCTTTTGGTTCATCCTACATATTGCTAGACAGTTGTCCATGCTAGAACAGGAAAATGAGACTTGAAACTCAACTTGCTCCTTACTACTTACATGGTGAATTTAGTTCTCACGAATGTGACACACAGGGACCCCAAGTTGGACTTGTATTTGCAGTATTGGATATTGAACCTAGGGACTTGTGCATGCTAGGCCTGCACTATATTCCCAGCCTTTTCTCTCTTTTTAAAATTTTTTTAAGACATGGCGTTGCTAAACTGCCCATGCTGGCCTTGAGCTTGGCCGTCCTTTTGCTTCAGTCTCCCAAGTTGCTGAGATTACAGGTGTGCACTACTGTTCCTGGCTGCTAACCTTATTTTTTTAAGCTGCTTTTTCTATTGTCACTGTTTTCCACATACACAGATAAAACATCTTAACTTACACAGAGATGTTTGCTCTTTGCCCAAGTCATTATGACACTTTCATGCATCTTTGTAGGGTGTCTCCTTCTGGAATGTTAGTCCTATTTGCACCTTACCCTTTAAGACAACAGATACACTTGTCTGGAAGGATCTATTGTTATATGAGCCAGTCCCCCGATATACCCTTTAGCATTTTATACTTGATTGAGTCATAGCATTTCTTGTTGTCATTGTGGCTTGAACATGATTACCTGTGCTGAGCTTCTTGAGGATCCAATCTCTTGTTGGGTCTTGTACTGCTAAACTACTATATTGCTTGATGTTTAGCCAACCCTAAGTAAAATGGAGTGAGCAGCATGTGAACGTTTTTAATAAAGTTTGATATTTTATTTGTCTTTCAAGTGCTTGTTGTGTTCTTGCTAGTACCTGAGATTAACATTGTCTAGGAGAACTAAAGGACTAAAATTTAAATTTTGTTAGAATTGCCACCGTGGACAGTGTATCTGTAACCTCCAAAGTAATTTTGATCCAGAGGATGTATAAATGCCAGCGTATCTTAATACTAAAAATTTTTTTTATGTGCTAATGTGTATCTTGTAAATTTCATTTTGTATATTGTAAGACACATTGCAGGGGGGTTTTCTTAAAATTTCTCTTTAGGACAGTGGTCTTCAAACCTTCAGTATACACAAAAATAATTGCCTTGCTTTTTTTTTTTTTGAACCTAAGGGTATTTAATCACTGGGTCACATCTCCACCCCTTTTTATTTTGAGAGGGTCTCTGACTAAGTTGCTGAGAATAGCCTTGAACTTGTGATCCTCCTGCCTCAGCCTTCTGAGCTGCTGAGATTATAGGCATGGACCACTGCTCATGTTTATTTCTTTACTGTAAAGATGTAACTGCAGGGCTATGCCTTTTTACCTGTAAAAATAGATAACATGTTTCCCATGTACTTTGTCCCTCAAAATTTTTCTCACCTGAACTGTTTCTCCTCCACTTTGCCCCACTAAGGGAGAACATTTTGAAAAGCAAAGAATAGTAATTTTTTTTTTTAACAAGAAAAGTTAAAATTTAAAAGATATTTTCATGTTTTTCTCACTAAATTACATTCTTCAAGGATATGTCTGATTTCCCCAGTGCCTAAATTCTGAGTTGGGAACTCAGTAAATGTTGGTTTTATTGATTTTTATTTATGAATTTAGTTTTCTTTTTTTTTTTTTTTTTAAAGAGAGAGTGAGAGGGGGACAGAGAGAGAGAGAGAGAATATTAACATTTATTTATTTTTTCTTAGTTCTCGGCGGACACAACATCTTCGTTTGTATGTGGTGCTGAGGATCGAACCCGGGCCGCATGCATGCCAGGCGAGCGCGCTACCGCTTGAGCCACATCCCCAGCCCCAATGAATTTAGTTTTCAAATAATAATTTTAACCCATAAAACATGGAAGCAAGGCTCTTTTTATCTTGGAAACTTTAGGGTCATACTTAACTTTAGGGTCATACTTTAGGTCATACTTAAGTCTCCCCAAATTCTATTCACAGAGGAAACTGATAGCATGTGGTCTCTGAATGCATCTGTCCACTGTTCTGCTCTTCCTTTGGTCTCTTGTACTAACCATTGTAGTCATCCTCTTCCTGTGCTTCATTTCCTTTGGACTTTTTGGTTAAAATAAACCAGCTATCTCCTTTTGAAGCAGTGGTATACTATTTCCTGTACTCCTAAGACAAAAGCTTATGAAATTATAAAATACTTGGACTCTAGAGAAAAATGGTAAAAGTTTTCTGGGGGCTTGAGGGTTTCTTTCTTTTTAATGAAAAGGAATTTGGTATAGTTACATAATTGATTTGCAATTGTTGTTAATCCAGGATATGATAAGGATCAACTTCACAAAGATAAAAGACTAGTTTGAGGCCAATCTTAATTAAGAGCACTTTAGTAGGTCACAAATCTAGGAGTCTTGACTTTAGGTTGGGAATTCTTGATTTTGTTTATCTAGTAGTACTCCAATTTATATTAGAGGACATACTTCTCCAAAAGATTTCCACTCCCCATTCTTGATGGAGTAAGAAATTGGGTTATTAGAGAACTGCTAATGAGCATGGAATATTTTATCTAGGTCATTATTAAACCAGATTAATTTTTCCTGCTTTGTTGGGGCATACCCAAATCATGTTTGTGGAAGTGGTTATTTTCTCACCCAACTAGTGTATGCATTCTAGTCAACTCAACAGTCTTCATAGCCATTCCTATTTATATACTTTTCATGTAAGTTTTATCCCAGAAATCAGGTACTGCTTCTTA